AAAAGCTATATTCTTGACTTAACATTCACAAGTTGCTTATGGATTCATTAGCCCATCTGCCGCAACAAATGTATTCACACTTCTTTTGCAATGATTGCTGAAAAGTGACTACTTTTCTCCTATTCACATTTCTCTATTAATATAATGGAAAATAACTTTTTTAGAATCAAGACACTTATGTTTTCATGTTTGTAAAAAGGTGTATATTTTTCAACTTATCAACTGACTTGACGAGGGCAGTGCAGGGGTGAAAGGAAGAGCTTCTTGGGAAATGACTTCCCATGGTTGGTTTTTCTTTGAGTCGTTCATCGTCCATTTATTTAGTTAGTTCATCTGAATGTCTTATAATTGCTTCAAGTTTGGCGTGACTGAGACCGCTCTTTTCACTCACTTCCAATCCCGAAGCTGGTTTTTATGAGGATAACCTCATGTCTCTATTTCTCCTAGAACTTCTGTCATCGGCATCTTCCTTTCCTCTTTTATGTTGTTGCCAATTCCGATAACCTCTTTATGAATAATGCACCTGGTTTCTCATTCCTCTCAAGTCAGGTGGCTTAATCATCATTTCAGAATCCAGTCACCCCACCCTGGGACTCTTATCAAACTGCCATCACAGAAGTCTTTCTTGTTATCCTCTAGCTGGTCGGTAGCAGTAAAACTAAATCAGTTTTGGCCACAGTTATCAAAATGCCAAATGTTATAGTAATAGAGAGAATTATCTCATATACTTCTCATGTTTATGATGACACTCTAATCTCTCACTCACTCCATTTAACAACCTCTTTAGAAAAAGATCCCTTTCTCTATACCACGCTTAAATCAAATCACCAGCCTTCTTGAAACCTTTCGGTACGGACACTTCTAAGCCAAATCCAATAATACGTGGGTATTTCTTTTTTAATTTTCAAATTACCTTTCATTTCCTCCCATCAGTTTTGCTCCCAACACCCTTCATCCAGCTTTTCCTCCTGAAAATCAACTTCCCTGTACTCTCCAGCACTTCCACTCCGCTCCATTTGTTGCAGGAAGATCGGGGGGAGGGCACAAGAAGATGGTCATGTCCCAGCTCTCGGGCGAGTCCCTGGGATGTGCTCCACCAAGTGAGGGTCCTTGGTTTCGTGCAGGAAAGAACTCAAGGGCGAGCAATAGTAAAGTGAGAGCAGATTTATTTAGGGAGATAACACACTCCACAGACAGAGTACAGGGCGTCACAGAAGGGAGAATGGCCTGGGGGTGCAGGGGGTGGCTAATTTTTATGGGCTGGCTATTTTTATATGCTAACAAGTGGGAGGATTATTCCAACTATCTGGGGGAAGGAGCGGGGATTTCCAGGAATTGGACCACCACCCACCTTTTGGTCTTTTACAGCCAGCCTGGGAGCTGTCATGGAGCCTGTGGGTGTGTCATTTAGCATGCTAATGTATTATAGTGAGCATATAATGAGGCTCAAGGTCTATCGGAAGTCGAATCTTGCGCCATCTTGGGGCTTGTTGGTTCTAACCAGTCTTTGTCCTATCCTCAACTGCTGTGTCATTCATTCTTTTCATGGGTGTGCCCTGCTCCCTTCCCCCCTGTCTCACATTTACTAGGCATCTAGAGCAGTTTGGATTGACACTCTTAACTACCTGTATGAAGTGGAACACCTTTAGTAGACAGCTTTTCTTTCTCTTGCTTCGTCTCACGTATGTTGCCCGTATAAAACCAAGAGACACAGAGAGAGAAGGAGAAGGAGGGCGGAGTCAAGGGAGGACGGGAAGGAGAGAATTTGATGGAAAAGAAGTAGAATGACAAGGAAGTGGCACCATGAACTACCAAACACCTTGTTGTTGACTTAGGATCTAGCCACATGGAAAAAAACAAAAGTTTACTATTTTTATTAAAATTATCGAAACTTTTCTATAGGATTAAAACCTGAGGTATTTTTCCAATGTTACTCTTCTCCCTAGCTGTGACTGATGATAACTGAGCAAGGCATCTGCCAGAAAGTCACAATTAAGCTATTATTTTTTCTGTTGTGAAAGGCATAATTTATAAAGTGGTGACCTTTTGGTAAGCTAACAGTATGTTGATGAACTTCAAGTGAAGTGAAAAAAAAAGTGTTTTGTATCCTCAGTGCTTACATTTTCTAAGGGATCACGTGGAACAGTGGCGCCTTTAAAGGTCATAGACTTCTTTACTTTGCGAGATATTAAATAGCTTATGAAAATGGGGGTCAGCTGCATGATAACTGGAACAAAAGCTCATTCCCAATGGGGAAGTAAGATATTCGAGAGTATATTGACTGTCCTTTTTTAAGATTGTATTTGATTGTCTTTAAAGCAAAAAAAAAAAAAAAACAGAAAAAGAAAAGAAAGAAATTTGCATATAAATGCCATGATTGTAAATGAATGAATGTACAGGTCTTAGAATCAAGAGCTATCGATCTTGCTCTATGAACACTAATATTGTCTCCATATACTAAGCATTACAATAAGAACAATTCATTTTTACAGCCTAAAATTCTTCTCCATAATTTTTATGTTTCTGTCAAACTTTTTAAACTTTTCTGAATTTTGCAAAGATAATCTTAATTAGCTTTGTAGGAACGTAAAATAAATAATCACTATCAGTAAGGAACTCACTCTTTAAAAATTATTCTTGCTTTGAAGTTCTCTAAAACAAATGAGGAACAAAGGAATATCGAGACCAGACTATAGGCAAGGTTCTGAGCCACCTTGGAGAAGAAATAGAGTAAGGCATTTGTCTGGCCACTAATTTATGCAATTTATGTCTTAGTAAGATTTAATGAATGACTGGGAGAAACCCTGGCCACAAGTTATTTTCATCTTTGCCTTCAGATATTGCTTGAAGTTTCTTCAAAAAGGATACTGTCTTCTTTTATTCTGCCACCGATAGGGATTACTCTAGAATCAAGACTAATAGGGAAAGGTCACATACTGACACAGGGCCAGTAAGTTTTAGACAGTTGATAATTGATGATGAGCAAGGGTTCTTTGCAGGGAGAGAAGGGTTTGAAACCTTGCAAGAGTAGATATTCACTGAGTTAAAGGGACACCATGAAGCAGGAAACTTGAGACAAAAGGGCAATTCTTCCTTACCCCATAGATTCCCACAGAGCAATCTTATTGAACACCAATCATCTCCCATAACCCTGGCACTTATAAATATTGACCGCGATATGAGACACAGAGGATGACACTATTCAACATGTCAGGCCAGATTTTAGGTTGTGCTTTTCCATTCTGGAACTTATCACTTGCTGACGACAGGTCCTCAGGAGTGAATGAATGTGTCGGTAGGTGTCCCGTGTTCATATCCTCCCATTTGCCCAAAGTCGTCAAGCCATTCTGAGGTTGTACCAGTGAAAATTCAGTGATAATTTTCAAGTTTAGTCCACGGAGAAAAGACTCAGTAAATACATACGTAAGTGACTGTGTGCACGTTCCTAGGCATGCACCCGAGTCTCCACCTGAAGTTTCTTACTAGTTATTCGAGAAAACTCTACTGGGTCATATTTTGCTGGTGAGGAAACTTAATTGCTCAATTTTTGAAGGCACATTAACTCTTGCAGGGTTGACTGAGTAAATTAGCTCCTGCAGATCATTAAGCCTATCTCTACGTGACGTGACAGTTTCTACCTGGCATTGTATCATTTCTCCCCAAACGCCCCCCACTTGCTCTGAGCACACACATATTCTTTGTCTACTCAGGGAGAGAGAATGCGCTCATTTGAATGTCAGCAGTTGCTCTCTGGCTGCAACTCAGTGGTTCCCTTTGCTTCTTTTCAAGGTATCCAGGGATTGCTAAAGATGTGCTGGTGCATAACAGTTATCAGAGCGTCCCCAGCAGGCAGGTGGTTTAGGCGTCTAGAAATGGTATAATTTCAGGGGTTTTGAGCATGGTACTGCACTCCCAGGTATCTCTTCCTATTTGCAAAACCCACATTATTTGATTCATTTGGGGTGATTCTGTAGTCCTTTATTCAAGCACAATTTCCACTAAGAGGCTGTGTTATCAGGACCCATTTTAGGAGAATAAACTGAGGACCATTTGAGAGCAGTCTCTGTACTGTCCCTCCAGAGGGTGATCAGAAAAGTGTGTGGGCGTTTTGGGTGCCACAAAAGTCGGGGGAACATCACTGGCCTTTAACAAGCAAGCATGGGAGAGTCTCACTGAAAGAATAATTTTTATCTTGTAAATTCAGTGGTTGGTCCTACTGAGAAGTAGTGATGGAGGGAAAAGGCAAACATCACCTATTTCTCTGTGTCCAGAGCTACCTGGGAGAGTCGAAAAGTGGTATAAATTAAAACAGGTGAGGATCCGAAGGGATGTGTTCTACTCATTCAGAGGTGTTCTAGAGCGATGTTCCTTTCATGGGCATATAAGTCAGCTGGAATCTTGTTAAAATGCCAATTCTGATTGGGTAGGTCTGGGGTAGGGCCAGGGAGTCTGCACTTCTAATCTCTTAGGTGACGCTTATGCTGCTGGCCCACAGGCCACACTTTCAGTAGCAAGGATTTAGGATGACGTGCACGGGGGCAAGAACATGGTCTTGGATAAAAATGATGAACATGAAAGAAATGTGACAATATCCCCCCAAATGAGCTTTCAGGTCAGTAAGACTGATTAAATATTGAAAATTCCACCAAGACATTGATAGATCATTTTTTTAAAAAAAGGATATCCTTAACATTTCTACCTATCTGAAGATTATGGTGAACATTTGCTGAGGCTTATGTGCTGTTTATTGCTTTTAAATCTTTACTAATAATTCTGATGGCGTGCTTCCTAAAGATACAAGAAGTAACTCTTTTCCCAGTTCCCCTGCACTTTCTCATGTTGGTGAAGGGTTCAATAAATGTCGATGTCTGATTAAATATTCCTTTACACAGTTCATATCAGAGCTGATTTAAACCTCCCCTCCCCACGTTCTCTTAATCCATCATGACAGCCTTTCTGTTCTCTGCTCTGAGATGAGCCACGTCCTTTTATCTCGGCAGGTCAACGGGAAGGATCTCTCAAAGGCCACCCATGAAGAGGCTGTGGAAGCTTTTCGAAATGCCAAGGAGCCCATCGTGGTCCAGGTGCTAAGACGAACACCTCTCAGTAAACCAGCCTATGGAACGGCCCCAGAAGTGCAGCTCATGAACGCCAGCACTCAGACAGACATCACCTTCGAGCACATCATGGCCTTGGCCAAACTCAGGCCCCCCACCCCTCCAGTGCCAGACATCTGTCCATTTCTGCTCTCAGACAGGTATGTTTCCGTCATTTCTCCCAGAGCCCTGTGTGTTGTCATCCGTCATTTAAAGCAGGTGTTGGGAAGAATCAGTCCCACGAGCAAGCTGACAGTTACGGAGGCAGGTGCTCAGTTCTGTCTGGAAAATGTCTGCACTGTGTCTACATCCAATTAGTTCTCAGCTGCTCTGGGTTTCCCTGACCCACACGGCTGCTTCACCTCAAGAATCCTCCTTGCTGAGGTGCCGTGAAAATTTCTGGCGCTGATTAGCTCATCTTCCGAATTTCCAGTCATCAAGAAGCCTCACACAGCTCACGAGCACTGGTCAGGGAAATAGCATTTCTCACGGATGCTGCCAAAAACCTTATTCAGACAGACACAGAACTGTCACGTTGGCACTCTGTGCTCCTCGGTGGGTCGCCTCTCTCTCTTTTTTGCTCTTCTCTTCTTTAAAGGAGAAGCTGGGAAAGTAATTTAATTAAGTGCAGTTCTCCAAAGGAAGCAATTACCCGATATATTGAGACATAAACAAAAGATCCGGCTGTCTGAGAGTTAAGTATAGAGCTGTGAAATAAGGAACTGTTAAAAGACGACTTCTTTCCAATTTTTACCTGAGTTAAAGGCAGTTGGAGATATTTTATTCAAATAAGCCTGCCTGTACAGTTTGGGAAGTATGTTTTGCCCCATTTGTTTTGTTCTGTGGGCTTTTCAGCACGTATTCAAACATTACCGAGTGTCTGATTTCTAAGAGTGGAACAATCCTTTCTCCGCTTAATAAAACACAGATCTGGTCCTGCCACTTCCCTGCCCCTTGGTGGCTTCTGTTACGTCCATTTCAGTGGGTCCCATGTGTGCATTAGAATCACCTGGAAACTCTGAAGAGCCGTATCGATGCAATGCCTGGATCCCACCTCGGGACAATTAAATAAGAGCTTTTAGAGTGAAACCCAGACATTAACTTTTTCAGAAATCTCTCTAGGCAATTTTAATGGCAGCTGTGCTCTGGAAACCACTCCTTGAAACTTCAAATTCTGGGAGGGCAGGGGCTCTGGTTGTCTTACCTACGATTCTAGCCGTCTGTCTGTACTTACAAAATAGCCCCTTATGTCAGGCACCAGAACTAGGTACTGGGTATAAAACTGGGAACAAAAATAAAGCCACTACCTCCTGGAGCTTACATTCTAGAGGGTAGATGAAAAATATGCAAGCAAGTGGATATATACTATCCACTGGTACAGCCTGACACAGAGCAGCCATCCAATAAACGCCTTCGTGAATGAACAAGAACTAACATTTATTAGCTAACAACCTGTTTTCGGTAATATTCCAAGTGCGTGACACTTATTAACTCATTTAGTCCTCACAAAAACTTTCTAAGGGAGTATATTGCATTATCACCATCCCCAGGTCACAGATAGGGAAACAAATGTTAAGTGATGCGGCCACGGTCACACGGCAAGGAAGTGATGGGGCCAGTCTTCTGAGCCTAAGAGGTCTGACCCACTGCCCTCTCCCTTCTACTGGTACCTGCCACCCTTCCCACATCCTGCAGATCTTAGCTTAGAGGCAACCTCTTCTAGCAAATGTCCCAGGACTTTAGTAAACAGACCCCTACCATGTACTCTCACAGCTTCCGAATGTTGCCCTTAATTGCCCCACTGTACTAAAATTCCCACTTGGCTGCTCTACCCAATTAATAGGACAAGAATTGGATTTTGTGCACCAGCCGATTGCCGGCTCTTGGCATAGGGTCTTGGCATCTGGTAGATACTCGATAAATGTTTACTGAATGAATAAGGTGTTCCTCACAGCAGGGCTCCCTTCTTACTAACCCAATGAGGAGAGATACCCATGAGATGCCCCAAACAGCATGCTCTGACATTTTCCCAGCCCACACGGGCTTCACAAAGCCAGGCCAGATTAAAGCCGGGAGGGTTCGCCTGTTAGACCAGCAAGCAAGATGCTGCCTGTCCTGCTGTGGCTCTTCGTAGCCCAAAGTAGAGAATATTAGAGAATAGTGAAATATTAAAATGTTTAGACTGTGTGAGGGCACCAGAATGGGTCTCTCTGGCCTCTCGGTTAGTGATAGGGGAACTAATTTATGCTAATAACTCCAGTTTTTCAGTAATGCCCTCACTGGCTTGGCCTAGAGGTCTCACATGCAAGCAACCTGGTTAATTGCACTTAGGACTTTTCACTGACTTGTAACTTCTTGGAGATGACCTTACGCCCTTTGCTGTTAAAAACTGTGCTTAGATTGCATATGGTCTAACGTATAATGTCTCTATTGCCATTTGAAAACACTTCTCTAAATTATTTAAAACATTTCCCAACAGTTAAAGGATCTATCTATAAAAGTCCGGTAGAAAAGTCCCTGGGTCCCCCTAATTTCCTTCACTTCATCAGCTCTCTCCATCCTCAGAAACTTTCTAAAGCAATTAGGAAACCCTGTGGTTGACAGGCTTCTCCAGTGAGTCATCTCCATGAAAGTTCTGTAAGGAATGTTCTTTAATATTTATGGACGTGCCTTTTATCAAAGAGGGGAAGATGTGGGTCATGAGGGAGGAAGGCGGTCTTAAGGAATGGGGGCAGCGTGACTGCGGTTACAATTGGAAAACTGCTTCGCTCAGCCCACCCCGCTTGCTCAGGTTCCGCATCCAAGGATCCCACCAGCCGCAGACTGGACGTTGGATCCCCGGTTGGTGGAATCGGTGGAGGCAGAACTCACAGACAAGGAGGGCCAACTGGATGTGCTTTTCAAAACAGATTTCATAAAACAGTTTGAGGCTGTAACTATGAAATTGGTAGTGCTTTGTGACAAAACACCCGCCTTTGGGTAGACTGCCGTCTGGAAGGCCACACGGCCGTGTCTGGAGCAAGTCCAGTGGATGGAACGGAAGGAGGCCGAGAGCATCAGTGAAGCAGCACAGCTGGGGGGGAGACACATCCGTCTCTACACAGGTGCCGCTCGGACCTGGGGCCCCCAGCTTCGTATTCTCTCCAATTGCTGGGCTTCTTGTCGCGGGAGAAGGAAAAGCAGTCGCTCTTTCTGAGCCTTAGTTCGCTTAGAGGCTGGATCCCTCCAGGCCTTAGCTGCCGAGCAGAGAAAATTACCGTGAAATTCTAAAATCAGTTTTAATCCTGAGAACAACCCCTTTGACCCACTGCTATCGTGTTGCTGCCTTCCCCATAGCTGTCATTCTCTTCACGCGGTGGAGCAGGAATTTTATGAGGACCACGAGTACCTCTCCAGCTTGCGGGCTGATGCAGACAGGACGGAGGACTTGGAATACGAGGTAAGACCGCTTCACACCGCTCCACGCTTCTTCGTAACGTGCCGCTTGAGGGGGCTTGCGGAACGAAGAAACGATTCATTATTCCTGTGATAATTATTTTGTCTATTATGTATCTAGGATCAGATCTTTTAAATGTTTGTTTCCGCCATTTGGCTCTAGTATTTGAAGACTATTGGAAAACATGTTTATCATACAAGCCTGAAAAGAATTTGCCCACGTGGTTGTTGCTTTGTGTAAATAATATTATGGCAGCTACCTTTTTCCCCCCCTTCTTTTTGTGGTATAAGAGAATGTCCAAGGAGAGTTTGGAAAAGAAATTATATTTAAAGCCAAGATTGTGTTTACTATTTTCATTCTTTGTGTTGTATTTTGATTGTCATTGACAAACTAAATTTTATATTATTCTTATTCCCCTTCTCGAAGCCAGTGTTCTTTTTATGGCTCAAGTACTCTAAAGAGCAGTTTCACCGACTTTCTAGAAAGAGAGATGACCTCATGTCCTTTGTTGTGAAACTCTGTTTAGTCTTCACACGGTACAGGGTAAAGTAGCTGTACTGTGATATGAAACAATTCCCAAAGCCTGTCTGTTAATTATTTAAAAGCTTCCCCCAAAGTTAAAGGATTTATCCTAGAATTTCCTCTGTATCTGCAGTCTATAAATCTTTGAAAGGTTTCAGACTACTCTGACATTTGGAAATAAAATAGATGGAGGAGGTAAGGAAGCTTTGGTAAACAGGCAAAGAACCCATGATTATCTGCCCTTTTAATGCGTTAGATGATGTCATACAAGTTCAGCAAAATGTTCTTTTCCATTTTACAACCAGAAAATCCTGAAATCTCTTCCCTTAGGAGGATGCAAAATCAAATAAGGCCGATTCAGTGAAGCTCACCTAAAGCAAATAGACATTTATATGAAATCTCTCCCCCGCCGAAGTCATTGCTGGGGATTACAGAAATCATTATTTCTTTTCAGCCAGAATTTGGGAAAATGTGCAATAATATCAGGTATCTGAGTAGACGGTTTTGTCATTGTTGTTCATGTTAATTTTTTTATCCCCTCCTCTCCATTAATTTGATTGAAAAGTTTTATTTTTATAAATCCACTCAAGTACTGGTAAGCATTGAAATATCCATTAAGCTTTGTCCATTCATGCAAAATATATTACAAAGTTGAGTCACTTATCCAAATAATTTAAGATTAAATGATGTTTTTCTTTCAGTTAATGAATTACTTTGTGTTTGGGGAATGGAATTCTCTCGATCACTTCAACTTTTTATTTAGTTTGTGCCTTAAAGCTTTATTAAAATAAATCTATGTGGCATGGGAGAAAGACCTGCTTAGGCTAAGTAGGTTCGCAGTAAAAATTTTTTTATTTATTAAGCATATCATTGAACATTACAACACACACAGATTGTAATGTTAGTGCTCACTCCAGCTGCAGCACATCCTCTCCTCTGACCGGTGTCCATCCCTGGAAGATGGCAGCCTGCGTGTGATGACAGTGGTAAATGCCCAGAAAGGTCTTCTGGAGCCTGTAATCTCAACTAATCACAGAGCGACAGTCAGTACATTGCTGTCAGCTGTGATCCCCTTGCCAAAGGCACCTTTCTGAGTTACTGAAATAAAGGATGTTCTTGTGAAATTTAAATAAGGAAGAAGTCACGGTGACAGGCTCCTCTCACGAGAAAGGATGCATTTGAGGATATCTGCATGGCTCAGAGTAGGGGGTGGAGGCACAGGGGGTACCCTAAGGATAATTTACAAAGTTTAGGGGAGAATAATGATTCTACCCAGTACATCTCAGTCTGTTACACTTATGTGGCAGAGTAGCACACGCCATCCATCCCTCTTGTTTGCATCCGATGAGGCTGTAAGATCTAGTCCACGCCTATCCCCAGAGCTGGTTGTGGGCACCACATGAATTGGGGCGAGATTTAGAAACGCTGCGTTTATGCAGTTACACTTCGAAACAGGCTGGTCAAGTGTTTCTGTGACCAGCTCAGGTGACCCCAGCTCCTCCAGGAGCTCTGTTATCACCCAGTAGCTCTGGGGACGCGGCGGGGTGAGCACCTGCAGGAAGGACCAGGTTTGTGCCACTTAGAGAATATTACAGGGAACTTGACGTCTGATGGCTGAAGAAAGGACTTCATTCCAGAAAGTGACACTCATTCCTCCTCAAACTAAAATTGCAGACACATCAATAGGCAATCGGGAAAGTAGAGTCAAGACTCCTTTCCATCCGCTTTCATTCAGTTGTACCGTAAATATCTACCGACCAGTTAAAAGATGCCAGGTTCTTATCAAAGTTGGGGATTGATGAAGCCCCCTGCCCTGGGTGGAGTTTGACCTTTAGAGGGGAGAGGGAGATGAGAACAATACACAAGTGAGTGAAGACATGTTGTATTAGATGGTGACATGCGCTCATGGAGAACAAGCATCGGGGTAGCAGGCAGGCTATGCACGGTGTCGGGACGAGGCATTGCTGTCTTTGTTGTTTGTTAGGTGGGGGAGTAATTAGGGTTATTTATTTACGTATTTATGTAATGGAGGGACTGGGGATTGAACCCAGGACCTCGTGCATGCTAAGCACAGGCTCTACCAGTGAGCTGTACCTCCTCCAGGTGTTGCTGTCTTGTGCAGGATGGTTAGGGAAGGCCTCTCACAGAAGAGCTAGCCATGTGGGTTTCCGGGAGAGGAGCTTTCCAGGTCGAGGGAAAGGCGGGTCCAGGCGACCAGCAGCAGGGGCTCATCTGGCGTGCTGCCAGAACAGCAGAGGCCAGGGTGCTCTGGGAGCACGGACGAGGGGAATGGGCAGTGGTGGGAGGCGCGCTCAGAATGAGAAAGGGTCTATCCTGAGGGGCCTTTTACTCTGAGATGCAGAGTTGCTGGCGGAGAGCGGGTTCTGCAGCCCTCAGGAGACCCCTGTGGCTGCTGGGATGAACTTGACAATGGGCAAAGCCTCCAGCAGAGGAGGAGGAGGTGGCTTGGATCTGGATGGTGACAGAGAAGGGGGTAAGGCATAGTCTGGGAGGACCGCAGTCACCCTGGTGCAGAGGGCTTTGCCTGCGTGTCTGTGTTTCCATCCCTCCCCTCGGAGCTTGAATACAGTCTGTGCTCTGATAGGTTTCTTCTTCTGACTTTTTAAAAGCGATGTGTCAGGCCACGGGAAGCACAGCTGTGGGCATCCACTGAAGCTAGCATAGCTCTCCACTCTTTCAAAGACAGAAAGTGTACGAACTGCATTTCTGAACTTGCTGAAATGCAAACGCTACCGCTATTTAGGTCTCTTTGTAAAGGTCTACTTCCTGTTGACTCAGTGAACCAAAACTGAGCTGTCTATCTTGTGAATACATATTTAGGGACGTTCAATGCATAGATTATTGACCCAATAGAGCCAAACAGATCTGACTATCTTGTAAATACATATTTAGGGGTTCTTTAACACGTGGATGATTGCATTGATGGTAACAGCTCCCTTCAGAGCCGTGATAGACAGCAAATGCTGCTTTGGAGATATTACAGTCATTATGTCAATGCTATGGTGACCCTAGTGTGTTAGGGACCTCGATGAAATTTTAATGATGCCCACATCTCACCAAGGCCTATCACCATTTTGCCTAAGAAAATTATTTGATTAGGTTTTAAATGTCCCCACAGTGCTACAGAAAAGTCTCAGTGGACCAGCTTGCATTAAAAGACTCACAGCTTGAAATTTGACCCTTTAAAAAAAATGATGACAGTGTTTCTAATTAAAAATGCTAAAAGACTTTCATTTTATTTTTGAAGGAAAAATAAAAATATCAAAATCTAAACAACATGGCCATCGTAAGAGTCGAGGTACTGACTCTTATTTCCACTGAAATACCCTTGAGGATTAAGCACTCCTTTTTCTGTATTTTCAACTTTGTTCATTTTTTTTCCTAGAGCCAGCTAAAGGTTGAAATAAATCATAAATAGCCCTTAGCCAGTCAGAGGCAGATCTCAAATCCAGCCTCTACCAGAAATAATTTAAAGGGAAAGGCTTTCAGAAATATAGGGCTCTTGTCCAACTCCTAATAAAGATATGTTTGCCAGTGCCTGAGTGTAAGAATGATGTTGAATTCTCCGCCACACTTCCCATCAACTCTCAGAAGTCAGTATTGACAGAGGAGAGTTGAAAATTAATCAACGCAACATTGTGATAGTATAAAATACCGTGTTAGAGCCAAGACAAGCAAATAATTTAAGCAACATTTTCTGAGCCTGGTGATTTTCAACACTTAGGAATGCTACTTGAAATCATTTTTATCCCCATCCCACCCCCACCCCCCAAGATAGAAGTGAAGAAACAGATCCAGCAGCCTGAGTTATGTACACAGAGAGTTTCCCTTCTGTGTACATTCATCACAATGAAAGGAAATTTCGAAGTTTGCTTCAAGAGGTATTAAAGGCAGAAAAGAAAGACAAGTCTACGTTAGAGTTCTGTATACATGTTAACTGAAAAGCAAACTTGGGCTAGTGTCTATAGATAAAAAAGAGCATTTAGCATATTAATCAGCTTCCTCCTGGCAATTCTTATGCAAAGTGTAAGTAACCCCTTGTGCTATGCTGGGAAGTGTCATTTTGCAAAATTTATTTCCCTGAGCTGGATCCCTGTGAATATGTTTAGAATATTTGTGAGAATTTAGGTGTATAATTTCTCTTGCATTGTTAAAGAGAATTATGAATTAAGGAGACGTTCACTAAAAAAAAAAGATAACAAGAGAATAGAGAATAAACATTAATTAGATCTCAGTCATATCTTTTTTGGGCAGCTTCATGATCTGTGAGCCAACGCTGAGAAAAAATGTCCCTAGTGCAAATGTGTGGAGCTCTGTGGCAACTTTCTAGGCTGTGAGGATCATCATTGCATCACATTCACTTCATAGTGGGTGTTCAATATTTGATGAAGGAATAAATGAGGATTCCCGTTGCTGTCTGCATGGACCAACTTCTGAGCAGTGTAGTGCCTTTCCACCTT